GACGATTCTTATCTGGCTGAGTAGTGGGTTTTAATAGCGCACTCTTGGTTCCATAATGAGGATCGCATTCTTGCAGCAATGGGCTGTGAACCTGGAATCCTCGGATTTACAGTCCGGGTACTTTAACTATTGGGTCAAACCTAGTACGGTTTTGTTTTGATTTCCAAATAAAACTGTTACTTACGAGAAAAAAAATTAGAAGAAAAGAAAAAAACGATCTTTAATCTCCAGATGATAATAAAAGAAAACTGAAATAAAAAGTATATTTTTTTAACATTATTATCTGGAGAGTAACGGTCGTTTTTTTTATCTAACTTTATTGTCAAAATCCTTCTATTATGCACTACAAATTCCTAAAAACAACAAAACTGTTACTTGATAGTACACTGACGTTATGCTCTAAAAATTTGAAGCTTGGCTATCTTTGGAAGACCAAGCATGTTGTATTCTCTGTCAAGCTATTTATAACCTCGGGGACCATGTTTACAGTCCCGGTTATCACCGTTCTTCCTTATTATTTAGAGTTCCCGTTTTGTCTTGCGAAAGTTCATTTTATGCCAAATGACCCCAAAAAAGTTTGGATCATGAGGTATTGTTTAATGATTCCAATAATGCTTTTATTGTGTTACTCGTTTCTTAGTGCAAAGTTATACAATGATCTATCTGCACTAGTTTCATCGCGGGGATCTCACCCCAGATTTAAGTGGTTTCAGTCCACAAACTTACTGCTGATACACCAAGGGACTTTTTGTTTTTTGTTTCTTTCTTTCTTTTAGAGCGAAGTTATATTAGGCAACCTGCTGTGGCCACCGCGGGAATCAACCCCGGATTTTAGTATTGCAATTATATAGACTTGCCGCTGTCCCACAGAGGGAGGACGTTTTTCTGTTCTGTGTGTGTGTTTTCTCTAATATAGTGTCAATTTCTTTGAATTAAAAACTATTTCTTCTCCCTTCTTTCTCACAAATTTCTATTTCAATGTAAGTGGGCATCTCTCGAAATACGCAAAACGATGCTTTAAAAAGAGGAATAAAGAATCTCTCTAACATAAAATCTTGCTGAACCTGCAGATTTGGATCATTTCGGATGGCAACGCATCCAAAGTTATGCTGACGAACCCCATAAAGGAAAACAACTAATTCATCCTGAAGATCATAATGTCATATTTTATGTTATTCTTGACGGGCACAGTTGTAGCGAATCTTTTTATTTTTTACCCGTATTTATCTGAAAATTATAGATCGAAAAGAACTGAGTAAGTAAATTACGTCCTTTTAAGTTTGGGGCTCGTGCGTGAGAAACGTTTTCCTTCTGTTAAGTTATTGTGAACGGTTCAGTTTGGTAGCGAGATTTTGAAGGCAAGACCAATTTATCTTTTGTTTATAAAGTATAAAATAATAATAATAATAAATACCGCCATGGACTCCCGCAGGAAGGGGCAAGAGAGGGCATTCCCCCCATCTTACATTTCACAAAAAAAAATGCACGTATTACAATGTAAACTTAACATCGTAGTTAAATTAGATATTTTTAGTAATTTTTATTAAAACTGTAAATTTGTATTTGAGTTTAACCACACATAACACATATTCTTTCAGTCTGTTGACTTACACTGTAAAAACTGATCTCCTACATACATGTTTTGCCCCCGAGGATCAGCCCGCCACCCCCTGAAAATATTTCTGTGAGCGCCCATGAATACTGCCTGTGCAGCAGACACTAATTACTTCAAACATGAAATACTTTGATTGAGAAATTAGAATCAAAGAAAATATCATTTTAGCAAATAAAAAGACTAAATTTCAGTCTAAAACTGGTTATTTAATTTAAGAAAATATGAGCCCAATAAGACTGTAATAAAGAAAGAGAGCCATCCTCAGCTCCCGGTTAAAACAATTATCATGCATTTTTCTCTTTTACTCTCACTCTAAAAACCATCTGAATGACGTACTTTCACTCACACCTCTCAAGATTGTGTGCATACGTACCTTTACTATCGCTCTTTGTTTCTGATTGCTATATTCCATTCTAGATTACAGGCTTATCGAATATAAAAAGCAACAATATTGTGCCTACATAAGAAATGTAACAATCAGATCAAAAACTTGGAAGATGTTGGATAAACTTAAAACAGATATGACATTTATAAAAATAGAGGTTTTTGACTTATCGGAATCCATAATGAAATATTTTCCAATGAATTATAAACTGCTTTTCATAAACATTTTATTTTTTTAATGTCTAAGCTTAGAAAATATCTTTAGGTGGTGTGTAAGAGGACAGAGAGAAACATGTTATGGTAAAACAATTAATCAACAGAAAGTATACAAGTTCGCGGAGGAATAACTTATTATGGTAAAACGTCTAAGCAACACAATTTATGCAAGTTTGTGGGGGAGTAACTTGTTATGGTAAAACGTCTAAGGAACACAAAATATACACGTTTGTGGGGAGTAACTTGTGGTCAAACGTCTAAGCAACACAACATATACACGTTTGTGGGGGAGTAACTTGTTATGGCAAAACGTCTAAGCAACACAACATATACACGTTTATTGGGGAGTAACTTGCTATGGCAAAACGTCTAAGGAACACAAAATATGCACGTTTGTGGGGGAATAACTTATTATGGTAAAACGTCTAAGCAACAAAAATTACACACGTTTGTGGGGGAGTAACTTGCTGTGTTAAACGACATATGAACGCAACATATGCAAGTTCAACAAAAAGTCCTCTGAGTCCTATAAACTTCTGGAAATGAGTAAAACAATTGTAATACTTTCAGTTTCTTTTATTTTCTCAAACATTAAAAAATTATCAGTTGTACGTACGGAATCACGTAGTTCCTAGTAGCCTGGAGTGTTTTTCACAGAGAAATATAACTGGCCAATAAACAAACAAACAAAAAAAAAACCATCAGCCCCCCCCCCCATTCCCCCGGTGGCTTATGACGCTAAAATTCGAGAATCCATTCCCGCGGTGTATATGTGAAGCTTTGTACCCAAATCTAACAAGCACATATATATATCTGTATGTCTGTGTCCTATATGCCTTCCGTAGTTAACACTTGTTATATTTTAAACACCAGTTTTTTCTTGCTCCTTTAGGTTGACGTAACTAACTTCCTAGCCATTGAATATTTCTGTTCGAAACAATGACACAAAGTTTCAACATAAACAAATAAAAAAAAGCGCACACGGTTTATAATATCGGAGCAGGCGAATAAAAGTCCTTTATGTCGGAGTAGGTGTCGCTCTTTACTGTATGGCGTTACAGTTCGGTGTACACAGCACAGAAAGGCCACTGTGTAGTTTTGTGCTTAAAAACAAACAAACATTCTCCACTGGCCCAGAAATAAAGTAAAACTGTGGTTAAGAGTAAAGTCAGTTTTATTCTGATGTATTATACAAATAATTCGTGTTTTCATCACTGATTCAACTTAAGGTAACATTGTCTTCGATACTTCATTTTAACTAACAATCCTAAAAAGCTCCACTTCGATATACTGTATTTCTGAGATACTTGCTTCAGAATTTCGAGCAAAGCTACAAAAAAAAGGTATGTGTGCATAGTTATCCCTAATTTTAAACTGATAGACTAGAAAGAGATGGCAGCTACACAAAAGCACTAGCCGCGGGTTTTTGGGCTAATTTTAATCTGACCGAATAGTAATAGATTACCGTTACTATTAAAACTCGCTGACGGCCCCAATGTACGGACAGAAGATTTTGAGGCAACGGGACTCGAACCACAAATCCTCTGCTTCACCGTTCGGACATACTAACAACTAGGTCACGCCCGGCTCTCCTGAGATGAAGGCGTATAGCGCAAAGCTACAAAAAAAAAAGGTATGTGTGCATAGTTATCCCTAATTCTGAACTGATAGACTAGATGGGCTAATTTTAATCTGACCGAATAGTAATAGTTTACCGTTACTATCAAAACTCACTGACGGCCCCAAGGTACGGACAGAATATTTTGAGGCAACAGAACTCGAACCACAAATCCTCTGCTTCACCGTTCGGACATACTAACAACTAGGTCACGCCCGGCCCTCCTGAGATGAAGTAGAAGCTAGTTATAAATTTGAAACGTAATTGAGACAAAGGCAGTTTGTATTCCAATGTTAATATCTAATAGAGAATCGTTATAGTACAGAAAAGATTATTTAATTAGCAAAGGATTATGCACAGTACTTTAGGATTAATATTCACTATTTTTAGAGTGAGTGAAATATCTATCTACCTGATACGTTATTAAATATCGCTGTCTCTTTCGCACGCGACTTATCGTGACATTTACAAGTCTAGAAAATATAAACGTAACGTTTTCTGATCAATTGTAATGTCGAGTGACGGTCAGTAATATTCACGCAACTACACAGAAATGTGGAAATAAAGTCATGTTCAAAATAGGGCAATTCTAACGAAATTCTTCAAAACACGACATACACGTGTCGCTCTGTCTGTTTGTCAGGCATTAGTATTTTATCAAAGAAAGTGTTCGAGAACATTAAATCGGTTATAATAAAACTCAGTTTTCGCCTGTCCTGAACATGCGCGCGCACTTCATTTCAACGGATGTAAATATACTGTAGTAGCCATTTTGTACAACGACATATTAAAAGCTTATCAAAATTTGTAAAAAGATCTAGGATTAGGTCGTAGAATAACATTATAAGTTTATTTATTGGTAGTATTTAGTAGGGTAAAGTTAGCCCTAACCAAACTAAAGCAAAAAACGAACACAAGCTACAGTGTTAATATATCTCTTTTATCGAATATAGGCCGTACTTAATGAAGGCTTAACTAATGTTAGTCCTTAGTCAAGTGGACCTATAGATTTCGGTATCTGCGATTATAATTATTTTGTCTTCTAGAAATCCTGTATTTAAAGAAGTATTGTTGTAATAAAGATACTAATATGACCGCAAATGTTTTGCAGGTCTCTGCTAGTAAAAAAAGAAAGAAAGAAAGAAAGAAAGAAAAAGCCCAGTCGCATTATTAGTATTAATCATTTATTTTTAGACCCTTTGGATGCTTACATACATGTAGATGTAGATTGGTTACAGTAGAGGGAATTAATATACTCAAGCACTGAATTTCGTTAAACTAATATTGATATTGTTTTGGCTGTGTAGCCCATTTTGTATCTAAGGTTTGTTTTAGACACGTGACTTCTCTCCTCTCAAGGCACTTTCTGTATCATGTGTTTGACTATTTTGAACAACTCTTCCTCAGGTAACATTATTGTGGGGTTTGGGTTTTCCTCCTCTTGTGTCTATGGTTGCAACGAAACCCGGATGCGGGTGTTTTTCTTCACTGAATCCACCATTCAGATCTGCTTCCAATACACCGTTATACACAATATTATCGTCGCAGCGCTCCTCCTCGTGGGTGTAGTAAACAGCTCTTTGTCTCCTGTACAGAACTACATAAATGACCCCTACAAGCAAGAAAATAATGAAGACGGCCGTAGCCACTATTATGCCTAAACGGGAGCCTGCAGTGAGAATTCGAAACTGACTAAATGGCCCTCCACATGGTGGTATTTCACGACTGTGTAACGTAGAAATGTCCCTCCCAACCAAGCTCCCTGGCCTCTTACAATGTATACAGCCGTGGTCATTCTTGCACACTTTGGCCTTGCTGGCTGCATCGGTCATCCACTGGATGAGCGGGAGAATATGACACCGCTCACAGGTCCATGGATTAGAGTGTAAAACTACTCTCTTTAGATAGTGAAATCGAGCAAGATGGCTCAGTTCTTCCTTTTTCATTCCTTTAAACCAGTTTCCAGAAAGGTCCAATATTTCCAACTTGCTTACTGGTCTCAATACTTCGAAATTGAAAGAGACAAAATTATTCCGAGACAAGTCAAGATATCTCAAGTCTCTATTAGAGACGAAGATGTCCAGAGGGAGGGCACTTAACTCCAAACCCCCCAGAGAAATTCCACGGAGATGGTGGAGTGGTTTCAGAACTTCCATAATGTTTTCCATGCTGATTCTATTAAATCCAATGTCCAATGTCTGCAGGGTAAAAATGATGGGCTTGAGAGTGTCAATCATAAGGGCCGAGAATTGATTATTGGAAATGTTCAGCGTTTTAATGCTAGAGTTACAGAACGCACAGACATCGAAACTAACAATTTCGTTCCTAGAAAGACCAAGATAATCGAATACTTGCCCACTGAACGCCATATCGACGATCACGTTTAAATTGTTACCGTCAAGGTAAAGCATTCGCAGTTTCTTCAAGTGACGAAATTCTTCTGGAGCAAAATAATTGAAAAAGTTATCTCTCAGATCTAGCTCCACCAAGTTGGGCAGTTGTTGATATATCAGAGAATGAAGGCGCTCAATTTGACAGTTTGCTAAACTAAGAGTTTTTATTGGTCTCAGGTCCTTCAGATTTTCCGGATCAACATTCCGAAGGGGATTGCCACTGAGATCTAGATGTTCCAGATTCTCCAACATGTAAAAGAAACGAGGCACAAGTCTTCTTAAAGAGTTTCTCGCCAGTGACAATGTTGATAAGTTGGAGAGGAAATGGAACGGAGCAGAAGGAGACGCGGAGATCAAATTGTCACTAAGATCAAGAACTTGAAGATGTGTTAAACCGTTAAAATCGGTGCCGTGTAGTTGAGAGATGTTGTTGTGACGTAAGTTGAGGACTCGTAGGTTGTTACCTGGCCAGAATGAACTATCTCCTATAGCCGGAACATTAGAATGTGTAATGTGGATTTCTTCTAAGAAATGAAAGTTCAGGAAAATTCGGCCAATGGTTAGATTGTTAGGGTTATTCAAAGGGGCAGTCACTATCAGAACTTGAACATCACTATCCATGTCTGTTGTGGGGATCTGTGTCATCCCCCCTTGATCACAAGTCACAATTTTCCGATTTTGCAATACATCACATGTGCATATATCTGGGCACTTGGAGTGACCATGTCCAGCCCTGAATAGCGACAGAAAAATAAACGGCCACAATATAACAGTTGCCATGCTGCAGTGAAGGTTTCTTCTTAAACTGCTTAATTTCCTTACCTGAAAAAAACAACAAAAAAAAACCTCCAGTATTACAACTTCTAGAGCAAACGCAATAAAATATTTGAAAAGTTAATTACGTCTAAAGGAAATGTAGAAAACTAATTTATTCCTTGGTTTCTGTATAAAGCTGTCTTAGCCAGTTGTTCGTGTGTGCATTAATATAAAAAAATGGCATATATACTTATTTTATTAAACAACTTTAGAAAAATTTTAATACATGAAAAACAATTGAGAATTCTGCCTTAGTGAAATGCGCAGAATAAAGTTTGTCATCTACATTTATATTAATTGAATGGAATAGGTTAAGCCTTAATAGAGTGTTAGTTAAATTTGGAAATTACATACCTCCTTGTAAATAAAGGAGGTGAATGTAAAATCTATATTTCTAACCATAAAATAATTTTCATTAGTCAGTAAAATATATGCAAATTGACTAACGGTAAGTTGTGGCGATCACATATCAATCGTTTTACAGGATGATGACCCAGGATCGAATCCCAGCCACAACCTTGTAAAGACTAGCAGCTGAAATTTATAAACTAATTAGTAATTAGTAAGAAAATTAATTAGTAGATAATTAATAATTAGATTATGTGTTCGTATAAAATGACAACAATACACAAAGGTGTTGAATAAGTTAACGATTATGTATCAATGTTTGTTTTGAATTTCGCGCAAAGCTACACGAGGGCTATCTGCGCTAGCTGTCCCTAATGTAGCAGTGATAGATTAGAGGGAAAGCAGCTAGTCAACACCACCCACCCCTAACTTATAAGTTACTCTTTTACCACCGAATAATTGGATTGGCCATCACATTATAACGCGCCCACGGCTAAAGGGCGAACATGTTCCGTGATATTAATGTATGAATTTAAGAATTTTGTAAAAGTATTTAACCTTTGGTATTACCAATATTTTTATTTAAATATTTTTTATCATTACGCCATAAACTTTTTGTTTACTTAAAATCCATCTTAAATTTGCTTGGAATAAAAACGATGATTGACATTAAGAGTTTGTTTGTTGTTAAGCACGAAGCTACACAATGGGCTATCTGTGCTGTGCCTACCCGGTTTTTAGCAGTATGAGCCCACAGACTCATCACTGAACGACTGGGGGACGTTAACGTTAAGAGACTGTTGACACTTAGTATTATTATTATCTATTTTATAAACCTACAAAAGGTAATCGTTAATTTGTGATAATTCTGTTGCGTTAAAACAGCTGTTACACGCTCAATATTTGAAGACGTTTCGGAGTATAACTCTACAGAAACAAACGTTTTTACTTCTGTAATATAAATATGATACGCTACCATTACCTCACAGAATTAGCTGAGATTTTTTCCAGTTCGAAAATTGTGATTTCATTTGTAAAATACAACAAGTAAATAATCAGCCTAATACCTATCAGGCACGTTGAAAGTACTCTATAACCCAGGGTATGTCTATTTTTTTGTCTGGCTTTTACAAAAGTATTCTGTAGTCCAGGATATTCCCCAATCTATCTAAAGCGTGTTGAAAGTACTCTATAATCCAGGGTATGTCCATTTCGCGGTCGTGGTTTCGAGTCTCTTCACCGAACAGCTCGCCCATTTCAGCCGTGAGGGCGTTATAAAGTGAAGATCACATGATATTCGATTTTAGTAGTCCAGTAGTTGGCGGTGAATGGTGTTGACCAGCTGCCTTCCTTCTAGTCGATCACTTCTAAATTAGAGAAAGTTGGTGCAGATTGACCCCGAGTAGTGTCACACAAAATACAAGCTTTCTGAGATATTGCAATCGTGAAAGTACTCTATAATCCCAGGTATCTTTTGAATTTTATCAAACATATTAAGACTACGTTTATTACCTAAACTATACTTAATCTCTATTCAGAATACTGAAAACATTTCATAATTCACAACACGTTTTAATTTCCACCAAGCATACTGAAAATATTCTATAACCCAGAATCAACTTTCACCTCTATCAAAGTTACTGACAATATTTTATAACCCACAATTTACCTTCAGCCCCATCACACTTACTGGAAATATTCTGTAACCCAGAATCAACTTTCACCTCTATCAAAGTTACTGACAATATTTTATAACCAACAATTTACCTTCAGCCCTATCACACTTACTGGAAATATTCTATAACCCAGAATCAACTTTCACCTCTATCAAAGTTACTGACAATATTTTATAACCCACAATTTACCTTCAGCCCCATCACACTTACTGGAAATATTCTATAACCCAGAATCAACTTTCTGTTAAGCATACTGAAACGATTATAGTTTGTTTGCAGGTAAGCACAAAACTACACAATAGGCTATCTGGGTTCTGTCCACCGCGGGTATCGAAACCCAATTTTTCAGGTGTGAGTCCTCAAACTTTTTGCTAACCCACTGGAAACTCAATTCTTTATTTTGAACTACATAGACAAGAAACCGAACAGTCTAACTTAGCATGACCCCAGTGGCTCAACGATAAGTTTGAGGGCTAACACGCTAAAAATTTGGTTTCGATATCCATGGTGGGCACTAATAGCGTAGATTGCCCACCTTGTCGCTTTACATTTAATCACAAACAAATATTTGCTATATTGTCTCCTGGAGGGTCAGTGTTAAGTTTACGGACTTACAATGCTAATAATATCCGGAGTTCGATTCCCCATGGTAAACAGAAAGTAAATAGCCCATTGTTTAGCTTTCTGCTAAATAATAATAATAAAAAAAAAACACTTAGAAATTCAAATTCGTTTAGCGCCTCTAGTGTTTGAATCAGAGACATTACAGACACACATCTTCAAAACCAAATAACCTTTCGATTTTTCCATTCTCATTTTACTTTTATTTGTAAGTCACTGCTTCGACTTTTAAATCAAATTAGTGAAAAACGTTAGCAGTAAAGTTTTTGGAAAGAGAAATACATTTTTACGCTCCCTTACTTTCCATTTCACGTGATAATATCCCGCATAATGGTGATGTATTTTTTCCGGATAAGGATATCTTTATCCATGTATATATAGTATTCATAACGGATGTTGAACTACGTAAAATATATGTATATCTTGAGCGCATGCGCATTCTTTTATAAGTTGTTAGTAGTTTTTATCTACATAAATTAGGTGGAATTTTTTTAGATTCAGATAACTTGTGCGTGGGTTGTGGGTGTCGCGTATCGTTCATTACTGTGTGTTGAAAAAAAATACGTTATTCATAATGTGGCTCAAAATCAAATTCGGTTCTGGTAAGCATCGATCTAGGTGAAATGTCATTTTAGAAGAATAATTCATATTCTAAGAATTCGTTAAAAGAGTGACATAGATTATCGTAGATAAATGTTAGGATTTGAAGTCGCAAGTTGAATGTATTTTTATGACGTTCATGAGAAGTATTTTCTAATCAATATCAATTTAAGCCTAATGGAAATTTCTCAAACAACATTATCAAACTGCTCAGTTTTACAAGTTAAAGAACGACCTGAAACTCAAGAACAGAGGAAAATTTATTTATATAAACGTTTTGGCTTTTCTCGCCTTCGGAGGAAATCAAGCGCCTGTAGCACAATTCTTCATCAAATTCTCCATTGTAACCACACAGATATTTTCAACATGTAGCCATAGTAACCAAACTTGTGTTTCCACTACTTCTTGGGACAAGTTTCAGAAAAATTCCCACGATAACCAAGCAGGTATTTTCAATACATCTTCATGGTTACCATACAGATATTTTCAACACATCTTCATAGCAAACATACACAATTTTCCATTATCTCTTGGGAAAAAGTCTCAAAAATATTCCAGGTATTTTCAATACATCCTCAGGGTAACCATTAAGATATTTTCAATACATCTCCATAGCAACTATACATGTATTTCCATTACATTTTGCGACAAGTCTCAAAACAATATTCACAGTAACCAAGCAGGTATTTTCAATACATCTTCACCGTAATCACTCAGCGTTTCACACGTTTTAATAGTAACCACACATCTCCATGTAACCGTAGAGTTTCATCACATCTCCACGATAAACATTTCAGCATGTTTCCATGGTAACTAATCAAGTGTTTTCAATACTTCTCGGCGGTTATGAGTTTCGTTTTTCAGATTTGTACATTTGAATATGTTGGGTGTTTGCCGCATAATTTTAGAAAATAAAAGAGAAGTAATAATATAGCTATAGCAACCTGAAACAATAACCGGTTAGTTTCTTATTTCTAAGCCTAAAACATAAAATTTACTTCTAATGATCGTGCAGTTTACCGGCACTGATCGCTTTCATTTCTCCAACAAATCTTGACCAAAACGCACGCAAACAAAAGCCTTGTACAGTTACTACAAGACGCTGAAGAGATCCTTCGTATCGACAGGCCCGTCCAATAAAAACATGATAAATTACGAGCAAGTTGCAAAGAATATTTCGGTTATGAAATACGGTTTATTAACGGGAGCACAAAAAAGGAAGCCTGTATTTAATTTTGACTCAGGGCACATATAATGAACCCCCAAAATTATAGACTAAAGCCCTATTATTAGCATAAAAAGTGACTCTTAATGAATATATATATATACGACAATGTTAAGCCCTGAATAATATCTGCCTGCGCATGCTCAGATATTATCACTGATTATAAAGCATTGTGGTTAAATACAGAACACGTAGAAACTTTCTTGACCACCAGTAGGTCATCTGTAAGTTTACGGACGTATAATGCTAAAATCTGGGGTTCAAATACCCGTGGTGGATAAAGCGCAGATAACTTATTGTGTAGGTTTTCGCTAAAACAAACAAAATCGGAACTTTTCTATCGTTCTAAACTAGACTTAACTTTTATAGTTACGGAGGCTTTTGCCTACACAACTTCACAGTGCTTTTGTTTCCATAATTAGAGTAATCATTAAACCTAATTTGATAATGCACAATATGAAAAAGTGAATGAAGCACAATAAATACCATAAAATAATTAAAAAAAAAACTGTCAAACAATAGACTGATGCATTACATGCATCGAGGGGGGGATCCCTCATGGAAAGGTGGCTTCTGAGATTTACATGATTTTCTATCCATTGTTCACACTCAATAAGACGTAATATGTAATAGGAAAAACAATGTTAATAATAATTTAAACACTGCATTGGTATTGATAGATGTTGTATTTATATAAACTATAGAAAATTACAACTGGAAGTTTATAACTCGGGGAGGATGGGGGGGGGGGGGTTGAAACGCGAAAGCTAAATCTGTAATACCACGAGATAAAAATCCATATTGCAATGGAATAGAACGAAGGTTTTGACATATGGCTTTTGATGAAACATCATTCAATTGTGTTGCTATAGTTACGTCAGAGTAACTGTACGAATACGACAGATACAATGTTTTTGTTTAAATAAAATCGAAACGTTTAAGATAGTGTTGTATTACGCCCTCTTTCGTCAAAGATATTAATACACTGTTGTATTACGTCCCTTCCGTCAAAAATATTAATATACTGTAGTATTACGTCCCCTTCGTCAAAGATATTAATATACTGTAGTATTACGTCCCTTCCGTCAAAGATATTAATATACTGTAGTATTACGTCCCTTCCGTCAAAGATATTAATATACTTAGTATTACGTCCCTTCCGTCAAAGATATTAATATACTGTAGTATTACGTCCTCTTCTATTGAATGTTGAACTCTTCCACTCCGATTCTGAACTTAATACAACGGTTATGTTATCATTAAGGATGTAAATCAAAACTGAACAGAAGGAGATAACAAAGTGTGAAATATGAACTCACTTGGCTATATAGTTTCAGTGTTTCACTCATTAGGCTATATAGTTTCAGTGCTACACTCACTAGGCTATATAGTTTCAGTACTACACTCACTAGGCTATACAGTTTCAGTGCTACACTCACTAGGCTATATAGTTTCAGTGCTATGCTACACTCACTAGGCTATATAGTTTCAGTGCTGCACTCACTAGGCTATACAGTTTCAGTGCTGCACTCACTAGGCTATATAGTTTCAGTGCTATGCTACACTCACTAGGCTATATAGTTTCAGTGCTGCACTCACTAGGCTATATAGTTTCAGTGTTTCACTCACTAGACTATATAGTTTCAGTGCTACACTCACTAGGCTATATAGTTTCAGTGCTACACTCACTAGGCTATATAGTTTCAGTGTTTCACTCACTAGGCTGCATAGTTTCAGTGTTTCACTCACTAGGCTACATAGGTTCAATGCTTCACTCACGAGGCTGTATGTCCCACCTTCGGTAGCAGGAATAAAAGAGTATACAAAACGAACTTGGCCGAGTGTATGCTCAGATTTCCTTACCAAACACTCGTCTCTATAAAATTATGGGTTATTTTGAAAATCAAATATAACAATTATCTGAAGAAGATTCCGAGTATGTAAATTTTGCCATTACAAGTACTCACACACGGGTATAGATTCAAGAGACAAGGGGGCAGAAGGCCAGTGGCGTAACAAAAGATGCCTCCCCCCCCCGCATAAAAGTAATTGGACCCCTACATTTACTTCTCTATAACTGTAGTTACGATTTTGGCCCCCGGCAATTGCAGGGGCATACTTACGCCACTGATATTGGCTCATAGTTTCACATATCCTCTCCTTACGTCACGAACGGTCCCTAATTACCACGTGCTGGTTGATTAGCTAAAAACACAATACATAATTTTCTAATAACTGAACGTGAAAATTCAAAACAGACCACAATATCGAGAAAAAAAAGTTTAATTCTAGCATTAAAACTTTCAAAAAGAAATACATATACCAAACCAAAAAACACCAGTCTTTCCTAGTGTTTTCTTTTTAGAAGTAAGTGAAACGTCACGTAGTTTAATTACGATCAATCTTAGAACTCATTTTTCTGTGCTTGAGCTGGGAGAAAAAAATGTTTCGGTGCCACTTAACGGTAAGATTTAATGTTAGTGTTTCAAGAAGTTTAGTTTTCTATTTTCATCTAATCGAAACCAAGACAACTTTCTGCCATTGTTTGCCCAATCATACCGAGAATGTTCATCAGTTTTATGAAGCTTGTCTGATTCCGCTCTTTACAGAAAAGCGGAATATATCTACTTAATCAAAGAAAGAATGTCTTTCCAGTTCCAAGCATGCTATTAGAAACGAAGCTGATATCTCTAAAAAAAAAAGAGGGGGTAGATAAAACTCCGGCAAACAATACCTAATTTAAATAATAAACGACTACAATATTACATTATACAATGCTCACTGGTGTCCTGTTTAACCACGTTATTATGAGGTGTGTTCACGTTCGCGCGCGCCACCTAACGTCACTCTTGCCAAATTTATATATAACATAATAATATCACAGTCACCGTAAAGTATTCCAAACCGCCCGTCTTCTCTACAGTTAGAGTATAAAGGCAATATTGGATGAAAATGGCCAAAAATTATTTGATGATGCTTTGAATTATAAGTACAAAAGGTGTCAGTGAAGCGAATGACAGATCTAAGACAGTTAGAAATGTCTTCTGGTGGAGAGACCATTCAGAAGAGAAAGAGCAGGAAATACTTATTACACGAAAGATTATCTAATTATACTTAATAAGCTTGGAGGACATCACGAAAGACCCCAGAACTTCATTAAGATGTGTGTCTCACTTCTAACAAAGTCTGGTCGATAATAAACAAACCCCTGTCTTTGGTTAAATCTGTTTCTAGGACTTCTTTTGTTCTGGAAGGCAATCTTAGAAACTTCCGTTCTCGTCAGAGAACAGAGGTTTTTCTTAAGCAGGTGATAATATCTTGATCGTTTTCTGAAGCAACAGAAAGGGGGATTAATGATTAAGACAAATTACTTACGGCAAGAACTTTTTTGCACACCATTGTAATGTCAATTACCATCCTCCGTCTAATTTCACTTAATTACTGAAACTTCGACCATCTCTTTTGCAACATCTTGGTAGTCTCGACCATCTCCCCTAAAAATACTGTACCGCCATGGCGTCTTGCCTCACTTCTTAAGAAATACTGTATCGCGCGCGTCATAACTTTGAGCATTTCAGTAAAAAATGCTGTACCACCATGACGTTAGTGACCACTTCCATAAAAATGCTGTACCACCATGACGTTATTGACCACTTCCATAAAAATGCTGTACCACTTTGACGTTATTGACCACATCTATAAAAATACTGTACCACCATGACGTTATTGACCACATCCATAAAAATACTGTACCACCATGACGTTATTGACCCCATCCATAAAAATACTGCACCACTTTGACGTTATTGACCACTTCCATAAAAATACTGTACCACGATGATGATTTTGGCCATGTCATTAAAAATATTGTACCACCATGGTGACTTTGATCATCTTCCTGAAAACACTATATAAAATTGTGACTTTTAACATACCCCTAAACATGCTGTATTACCGTGATTATTTTGACAAAACCTTTCTTACTTTAAAGAAACAAGAAAAATCATGTTAACGCCTTGAAACGGGTTAGAATAAAAACAAGAAATATCATGTTAACATTTGAAACGGGTTAGAATAAAAACAAGAAAGATCACGTTAACATTTGAAACGGGTTAGAATAAAAACAAGAAAGATCACGTTAACATTTGAAACGGGCTAGTCTAAAAACCAAAAATAACATGTTAACATTTGAAACGGGCTAGTCTAAAAACAAAAAAGATCATGTTAACATTTTGAAACGGGCTAGACTAAAACAAGAAAAATCATGTTAACGCCTTGAAACGGGTTAGAATAAAAACAAGAAAGATCACGTTAACATTTGAAACGGGCTAGTCTAAAAACAAAAAGATCATGTTAACATTTTGAAACGGGCTAGACTAAAACAAGAAATATCATGTTAACACTTTGAAACGTGTTAGACTAAAAACAAGAAATAACATGTTAACATTTTGAAGCAGGCTAGACTAAAAGTTGAAAGAAGAACGTGTTAACATTTTGAAACAGATTAAAGTAAAAAGATGAAAGAACGTGCTTACATTTTGTAAAAAAAAATCTCAGCTCGAAGAACGTTCTAACATTCTGGAACATGGCAGACTTAAAATTGAAGGACGTATTAACAAACTGGAACTACAAGATTAAACGAGTTAACATCTTGAAACAGACACACTGAAAGTGAAATCACGTGTTTGCTAAATAAACATTTTAAAAGCGGCATAGCTGCTATAGGAGGATGAGAAAATTTTGAATCAACAATTATACTATGTAAAGATACAAAACTAAAGTTATAAATATAAGATCTGTTTGAATATCGGCATCTAGACAGTAACACAACAAAACTAAAGTTGCAGATATCAGATCTGTTTAAATATCGGCATCTAGACAGTAACACAACAGAACTAAAGTTGCAGATATAAGATCTGTTTAAATATCGGCATCTAGACAGTAACACAACAGAACTAAAGTTGCAGATATAAGATCTGTTTAAATATCGGCATCTAGACAGTAACACAACAAAACTAAAGTTGCAGATATCAGATCTGTTTAAATATCGGCATCTAGACAGTAACACAACAAAACTAAAGTTGCAGATATCAGATCTGTTTAAATATCGGCATCCAGACAGTAACACAACAAAACTAAAGTTGCAGATATAACATCTGTTTAAATATCGGCATCTAGACAGTAACACAACAGAACTAAAGTTGCAGATTTCAGATCTGTTTAAATATCGGCATCCAGACAGTAACACAACAAACTAAAGTTGCAGATATAACATCTGTTTAAATATCGGCATCTAGACAGTAACACAACAGAACTAAAGTTGCAGATTTCAGATCTGTTTAAATATCGGCATCCAGACAGTAACACAACAAAACTAAAGTTGCGGATATCAGACCCCGTAGATATTAGCATTTAGACTGTAATAGTCCGAAACTAAATTTTTAGATATTAGACCTCGTTGAATGCCGGGAGAAAGAATCTAATATTTTTTGTTTGTTCAATTAATTTCGCGCAAAGCTACACGCGTGCTATTCTGTGCAAGCAGTCCCTAACTAAGAAGCGATATAGCTATTCAACATCACCCACCGCCAACTTTGGGGTTACTGTTTTACCAACGAATAGTGGGATTGTAATACTAAAAATAAGTGACAGTACAAAGCTTCAAGTTACGGTTTATGTTTTAGTGGAACGCTTCTGAAGAAACTGTAAAGCGAAACGTTGATTGTCCAATTAAAGGAAAATAACAAATCACAACGCTATGCTGGGCCTACATTTTAACAATCCGAGGCTAAAGTTGCATATATTACAACGCTATGCTGGGCTACACTTTAACAATCCGAGGCTAAATTTGCACATATCACAACGCTATGCTGGGCCTACATTTTAACAATCCGAGGCTAAAGTTGCATATATTACAACGCTATGCTGGGCTACATTTTAACATTCCGAGACTAAAATTCCATATATCTCAACGCTATGCTAGGCCTACACTTTAACAATCCGAGTCTAAAGTTGCATTTATCGCAACGCTTGAAATATCGACGGGTAGATTGTGGCAGTCCGAAACTAAAGATGAAGATATAAGGCCTAGTTGTGTAAAAGAAACAACAACAAAAGAGTTGAACTTCGATACTGATAAATAATTTATATTATTACTGAATACTCCACATCAGAATTTCTCAAGAGACGGGGAAGTTGTTGTTTTTTTTTTTGTAGAGACGTAAATACTGAGCACACAAAAAAGAGATATACTGAGATAAATTTAGCATGATTCAAAGTTAATTAAGGTAAAATATAGTTATGCTCCACCGATGACTCAAGTAATAAAAACAGATCTTAAAAACACCGGTTTTAATCTTAAACTAAAACAAAAACTTGGCGGATTACAATCCTAAAAACTTCCCATTCTACCAGCTATAAGAATAACTGTACACGACTCCCGCGAAGATGATATGTAATTAAAAAAGACTTTAGCCACAGAAGTCACCCACGGGGGTAATCTGTTCCGCGTTTCAGCAAAACTTAAGGTGGTGATTATTCGACAAAGATTAAATTCGCTCAAGTAGAAAAACGTCACGAAAAAAGCAACTGTAATCCTCCCTTAAAGTGCTACTCTCGTCAGACGTTCTCATCGTGATTTATCATAACAGCCGCTCTTATAAATTAATTTGCGCCTTACGCCCTTTCCGTGGTGGTTCTGTTCTTTTCAATAACTCTGCAATAAATGACCATGGGGCGGCACGTGCCTCGAGGGTCAGTAATTGACGACCTAGCCGACTCATCATCATCATTGGAGCAGACAACTGGTGTTTGTATGTCTTACGAGTAATAACATACTCTATTTTTCTTTAAAGATGGCTTCATCAACATTGTTAGTTGTAGAGATTCACGTGACTTTGAATGTTATTGTAAAGGCTATTTAATAATTTCTAAATATCTTAAACCAGTGGTCCTCCGATGGATCAACGGTAAGTTTATAGACCTAAAGTGCTTAAATCCGAGGTTCGATTCCCCCGCTGAAAAGAGTGCAACTAGTCCATTGTGTAGTAGTTTTGCGCTAAAAAAACAACAAAATCAGTGAGGTATTATTTGGTTTAAAGTATTGTTAAAAGCGAAGGAACGTATTTATTATAAGTTTTATTTTGTTCTGCCTCGATAAAAGTACTGAAAACCAGTGATGTAGGAAGGAGGTTGAAAATGGGGGG